ATGCATCTTTTGATTTCTTGACTGCTGCTTCCATGGGTGTTGATTGTGGATCCAAGTAAAATGAAATCCTTGACAACGTCAATCTTTTCTCGATTTATCATGATGTTGCTTATTGGTCCAGTTGTGAGGATTTTTGTTTTCTTTATGTTAAGGTGTAATCCATACTGAAGTCTGTAGTCTTTGATCTTCATCAGTAAGTGCTTCAAGTCCTCTTTACTTTCAACAAGCAAGGTTGTTGATGAGTCTTTCTGCAATCCTGATGCCCCATTCTTCTTCATATAGTCCAGCTGCTTGGATTATTTGCCCAGCATAAAGATTGAATGATTTGGTGAAAGGATACAACCCTGACGCACACCTTTCCTCACTTTAAACCATGCAGTATTCCCTTGTTCTGTCTGAAAAACTGCCTCTTGATCTATGTATAGGTTCCTTATGAGCACAATTAAGTGTTCTGGAATTCCCATTCTTTGCAATGTTATCCAGCTAGGAAATATAAATTTAAAAATATTTAAAAATAAAAATACATGATATATTTATGTTGATACTTCAAATTCAGGACTACGTACATGGTTTTTACTTAAATTCTTCTGTCTTACAACTGTCTCTCCTTTCTCCTCTACTGAGAATCCCAGGTTCTCAACCACACTTAGAGGGATAGAATAAGTTCTTCTAATTTGTTTTGTCTCACAATACATGACAGTCTCAGAATAAAAACACCAATACTGCCAACAGTATGATAACTAAAAGCAGCTTAAGATCTTCTTAAGTTTTTTTTGTCGGTCGGGTATATGCCACTAAGAATGTTCAGTCCATTTATGGTGTTTTAAAGTTACTTGGAATAATTTCTCTTGGAATAGTTATACCATCAGTTTGGCATTGGTTTAATTTTATTTTTGATTTTGTGGAGTTGCTTTTTTAAATTTAAATTTTGTTTTAAAATTATGTTAAAATATTTATGGAATAAGGTATATTCAGAGAAGTCTAGCTTCTATCCTTGTGTCCTCTACTTTGTTCCCTCCCTCCCCCATAGGTAACTACTGAAACATTAGTTTTATGACTTTTTCTTCCTTTATTTATTTTTAAAATATAAACAGATACTTACATTCCCAACCCTATTTCTTAGATAAAAGGCAGAAAATTATATACAGTTTTCTTCACCTTGATTTTTAAACTAAATATTGTATCTTGTAGCTCAATCCATGGTAGTAGTAATATGTCATTTTAAATATGTTTGTAAAACTAAATGAATAAATAAAATAACTCTCAGTAGACATTTGACTATTTCATCTACTTCCCTGAAAGTCTGCTTCATTCAAATTGGTCCCCCAAACTTCTTTTGAACCTTCTCACTGGGAAATAGATTGCCTTATATTCAGGGTTGCCTTATTTGGGGGCATACATGGTAACTATAAAATAGTAAATTTTGAACAGTTAGCTTTTCAAGGAAGGAAGTAAGTAAGGAAATTTGAGTGGGATCTGGGAGGATGGATAGGAATGATTTGATGGGAAGTTGGTGAAAGGACATGTTAGGTGACTGGAGAGTGTGAAATGAAGGTGGGAATGTGCACAGTGTCCTTGGGATCAGTAAGCCAGGCTGGAGCTGCAGGTTTGGGAAGGTAAATAGGTTGTCAGAGACATTGGCTAAGATGTCTTTGAAATAACTCAGTTGTGAGGGTCTTGGTAAGATAGGTGCCATTCATTCTTTTCACAGAAATTTATGAGCACCTACTGTGTAAAAAGTCTGTGCAGTGTGCTGGGAATACAGTGGTGAGGAAGGCAGATGTGGTCCCTACCTAAAGGAGCATAAAGAGATATTTCATTATTAGAGAGAATTGCAGTGTGCTGTGAGGGCATATGGAGTCCCTGGGTGGCACAAATGGTTAATTGTTCAACTACTAACCAAAAGGATGGCTGTTTGAACCCACCCAGAGGTGCCTCAGAAGAAATGCCTGGTGATCTTCCTCCAAAAGGTCGCAGCCTTGAAAACCCTGTGGAGTGCAGTTCTGCTCTATACATACGAGTCAGAATTGACTCAACGGCAACGTTTTTTTTTTTTGTTATGAGGCATATAAATGGGAGGATCTAGCTTGGGCAGTGGGGAGGATAGTCAGGGAAGGCTTTCAAGGAAGTACTTTTAGGCTGAGCTCTATGTATTAGCTGATAGGTAAGGAGGGGTGGTAGGGAGAGGGTAGTAGCTGCAGGCAGAGGGAGCAGCACTTAAGGAAGAAGGTGGGTATGGTTCCAGAATTGAAAAAGACCCAGTTTGATTTAAAGGAGTCCCTGGGTGGAGCAAATAGTTAAGCACTGAGCTCTTAGCTGAAAGGTTGGAGGTTCAAACCCACCCAGACATGCCTTGGAAGACAGGCCTGGTGATCTGTTTCTAAAAGTTCACAACTTTGAAAACCCTATGGAGCACAGTTCTACTCTGACACACATGGGGTCACCATGACTCAAAAGCTGTTAACAACAATGATTTAAAGGCCTGGAGAGTGTGGGGTAGAGTGGATGAAAGATGAGAGTGAATTTTAGAAAACTGCAAGGAACTTAATAAGAAAAGGGAACTATCTCCCTAAGGCATATGGTAGACACTCTGTAAGTGTGGAATGGATAAGTAAGTTTGAAATTTCAAATACTGGCTAAGAAATGATGGTGCAATGGGTAGAATAAGTAAATGAGCACCCATTGCCGTCGAGTCGATTCTGACTCATAGAGACCCTATAGAACAGAGTAGAACTGCCCCAGAGAGTTTCTGAGGTGGCACAGTGGTTGAGTTATAGCTGCAAACCAAATGGTTGGCAGTTTGAATCCACCAGCTACTCCTTGGAAACCCTGTGGGGCAGTTCTACTCTGTCCTGTAGGGTCGCTATGAGTCAGAGTTGACTCGGTGGCAGCAGGTAATCTTTACAGAAGTAGACTGCATCATCTTTCTCCGGTGGAGCAGCTGGTGGGTTCTAACTGCCGACTTTTTAATTAGCAGCCAAGCACATAACCCCTGTGCCACCAGGGCTCCCTGTCTTATAAAGCGTCTGGCATATAACAGGTGCTCAATTAAGTATTTGAATGAATGTATGCATTTTACTATGACTACTTCTTTGTGTTTAAACAGAGACCAGATGAAGAAGCTGTGGTGGATCAGGGTGGGACCAGTACAATTCTCAACATTCATTATGAGAAAGAAGAGTTGGAAGGTAAGAACTGCTGTTCTGTGTGACTGGGAAATTATGTGTCATTGGGAAATTGGCAAGAAGCTTTTTGGAGTGAGAGGGACAGTGCTGGCTTTGCCATCAAAAGACCTAGGTTTGAGTTCTGATTCTTTCTCACTAGCTGTAAGACCTGGGGAAAAATCACTTAATTTCTCTTAGGCTCAATTTCATCATGTTTGATAAAAGTAGGCACAATAACACACCCATTTTACCTGCCTGACTGGGATATGGTTAGGATCTAATAGCTTGTTACACAGTGCTTTGAGCACTATAAAGTCCAATATAAATATTAACTGATGACCCAATCCTTGAGAATGTGAAGTGCTCAGTTCAGTTTATTGATTCTTGTCAATTACCTGGAAGTATATATAATTTTATCCCTTCAAGTTAAATTTACTTTTGTATTCAGAATACCATCCCATAGTTGGAGAAAAGTGATATATAACTATTTAAAATAATTTTTAAAATTGTGGTAAATACTTATGTAACAAAACATTTGACATTTCAACAATCTTCACATGTATAGTTAGGTGATACTAATTATGTGAGTCATGTTATTCAACTATCACCCTTATCCATTCCCGAGTTATACCATCACGCTTAACAGAAGCTCAGTGAATGTATGTATATATGTGTGTGTATGTATACATATATGTATATATACACATATATATAATTTTTAAAGAAAATAAAATAAAAAAAAATTAATCTCAATTTGGCTATAAAACCCTGTTTAACCCATGATTTTAAAATGTATTTTCACTCCATTCCTAATGTTTGCTCTTCCCATGATATCTATACCCATTTCTGCATGGTATTTTCAGTCTTAACAAGGAAAAGGGAAAACAGGTACATGCCTGTAGCATATTCTTCAAGAGTTCACAGAGTTCACAATGCAGAGTCATACAAAAACTCAATTGAAGTGGAAGGGAAGGAAGAGGCCCTTTTCTGACCTGGTCTTTCTAGTTTATCTTACTGAGGCCCTTCTTCCCTTTTTGATTCCCCACCCCCAGCTCCCCTCATGATCATTGTGTGGTGTTCTTCTGCTTTCCTTTTTCCCACGGGGCCTAGATGGAGCCTTAGCGGTTGGGCTGATACCTGGACATGGTTAGTGGAAGCGCTCAGTTTTATTAGAGGAGGCTCTTGTCCAATACAGCTTTAATGACAACCCACATTTGGCTCAAAAGCCTTTGTGAAATCTCTGCCGCATCCCCTGCAAGGTTGAAGGCTATGATACAGAAACTTTATAACTGAGACAGCATGTGAAATGTTCTCTCTGTACTGCTTGTTCCCATGACTTTTTTTCCATCAAAGTTGTACAATCCCCAGAGAAAGCTTGTCCTTTGGATGGGGAGAGCCAGAGCTGTAGAGGCTGATTCAGCCTCTGGGTCTGTTACCATGAGAATTTGTGTGGGTGGCTTTGTGGAGGTCATTGAAGTATATCAAGGTCAAGTTTTCCAAGCTATTTTGGCCAGATGGAAGAAGAGCCACTGTGGGTCTGAGAATTGGAAGAAAGTGTGCAAAGGAAAGGGTGCAAAGGTGGGAAGCTAACATTTATTTGAGCCACCCTTGTGTGTTAGGCATTGGATTAGTCACTTTATGTAAATTATTTTTTTAATCTTTACAGTAACCCAGGCAGGTGTGTATCATTATCCCTATTTTACATGTGGCAAAACAGCTCAGAGTCCTCCAGCCTAATAGGTGAGGCTGGAGTGGAAATCTTACTCTTCCCACTCTAACATGCTGTTTATAAGGGAGAACCGTACACAGTATTAACCATCCAACCTCAACCTCTTGTTCCATCATATAAACATTTTTATGTATCATCCCCCTCTCTTTGCCCCTTCCCTTCTTACCCTCTCATTGCACCTTGGGGCACTGTTTTTCCTGGTTTGGTTGTCCTCCAGTGAGTGCCCTCAGCAAGGATGTAACCATTTTTGAGCACTCTTGTCTACATGGGAGTAGAATAATAAACCTGGACAGGTTGTCCTGGATCCCGAGGTCTGGGTTTTATCCTTGGAAGTAAGCTGGGTAATTGGCATCTCAGGATGACATTATCTGTTCCTTATGTGCTCTCCATTTTACTGGAAAAGAAAGCTACCTGCAGTGTTGTTGTTATTGGGGGATAGTGTGTTGGGAAATGACCCTTTATAGATGGACCTTTTTGAAAACCAGAAACTTATTTATGTTAACATAAATTTTTAAAAAGCAGGACAAATGGTGACCACTCGTCAGGTTTGATGTAGTTCTAGAGCAGCTCTGGAGAAGAGAGGACGAAGTTTGGATTTGCTGTAGATTTGCTATGCTGCGCAGTTTCACGCTGACTCACTTCAAAGAGAAGCCCAGGACTCAGTGAGGCTGTACTCTGGGTGGGTGTCTTCTCTTGAAGGCGTGGAATAAAACCAGTCCCACTTTGATGGAACAGGTAACTAAATTGTGTCTCAATAAGTATTGGTGCCATGGTGAGGTTCCATGGTCAGAAATAAGTCTCTGGGTCTTCCTTCCCCTTTCTTTCATATCCTCTGCTCCACATGACATGAACCATTCCCTTACGCCTTTTTCAGAACTACTTCTGATACTTAGTTTCTGTACGTTGTTAGGAATTTTTTGTAAATGTGGGTCTTTTTTACATAAGTTAATTTCATCAGTGGGAGAAGGTACATTAAACAATGACATTGTGTTTTTAAGGTATGGGTAGAGTTGAAAGAAAACACGATAACAGCTTTACAAAGATAAACTCAAAGAGCAATAGTCCATGGTGTGCTTCAGCAGACTCTCCCAGTCCCAGAGAACACAGCACAGTTGCTTTAGTTAGAGAAATGGCTTTCGCCATTCTTTTTGGCAGATCATTATTCCTGATTAACTACTAGATATATGAATCCTAAAGTAAGTTTAATGCTTTTAATAAGTTTTTAACAGAGGTAAGAGCCATTTGCGCATATTTATAAGTTAAAAAAAAAAAAACCTTGCATCCGCTCCACAAATGAGACATCCCCCTGTGGTTATTGACTTTGAGTCAACCTGTAAGCCCTGGGGAACAGAACACCCTTTTGTATGTGCTAATGAGCTCTGTGTGCGTGCTCAGTAAATAGTGTGTGTACAGCACTATAATTTGGTAGGCCCAATCTCCATCTGTAGGGTGGGTCATATCTGTGGTTTCTGTCCTGCTTCCAGGACTTTGAGCCAGTTCATTCTAGTTTGAGCCCCGGCTGAGAACTTGCATTTCTATCCCAGATATACTGAATCAGAATCTATATTTTAACAAGATCCTCAGGTGATTCTTATGTATAATACATTTTGAGAACCATTGCTCTACTAGTGGTTCTCACAATTGGTCCCTAACCAGCAGCATTATTGCCTGGGAACTTGTTAGAAATGCAAATTCTCAGCAGGGGTTCGAACCCAAGGAACCGATTTGAAGCCTGCCTGCGCACAAGATTTATTCCCAGTTCACTAATTTACATATGTTGTTGTGTGCTGTCGAGCCAATTCCAACTCATGGCAACCCTATAGGACAGAGTATAATGGCCCCATAGGGTTTCCTAGGCTGTAATCTTTACGGGAGCACATCACCAAATCTTTTCTTCCATGGAGCCACTGACAGGTTCAAACCACCGATCTTTCAGTTAGCAGTCCAGAACTTAATCATTATACTATCAAGGCTCCTTAATGTATACATACTTATGTTTAAAACTATACCTTTCCTATAAGTTTTACTAAATGAATACTCAAGTATTTGCACACAGATACTCAGCCCGAAAAGAGTAGGTATGATAATGATTGGAAAAAAGAATGGGGAATAGTTGGGAAGGAGTGGGCTTTGGGTGAGTTGGTAGGTAGGCGATGCAGACAAAGACTGTAGGTAGGAAAGCAGTTAAATGGTCAGCAAAATGACCACAGGATTAGTTTAGTGAAGTAACTGGACTGCCCGAATCCAGTTAGACTGACTGGATTTTATTGGTGCTATATCCATTTCCAAGGAGCCCTGGTGGTGCAGTGGTTAAAGCGCTCAGCTGCTAACCGAAAGGTTGGTGGTTCGAACCCACCAGCCACTTTTGGGAGGAAGCTGTGGCAGTCTGCTTCCATAAAGATTACAGCCTTGGAAACCCTGTGGGGCACTTTTACTCTGTCCTATAGGGTTGCTATGAGTTGGAATTGACTCAACGGCAATGGGTTTTTTTGGTTATATGCATTTCCCAGTGTCCATTTGTTTATAATCTTTTTAGCTCATTTCACTCAGAAAATCCAAACCCTGGCTTCAGAGTCCCCAGCCTAGAAACTGATACCTAGTTTCTGACTGGCTTTTCTTAGCTCTGACCCCCGCTGGAACTTGTTTTCTTTTCTGCCTGTCTCTCTGGCAGAAGGTAGGCACTGTGGTTGGTTGATGTTTGTGAGAACTGATTCAACCAAAAGAACAACCTGAGTCTTGCTTCTCTAACATTTAAGCTTTGCCTTACTTTCTACAGATGCATCAAAGGCACTTGAAGGACATCTTCCTCATTATGCTTCAGAACTACCTAGTGGATAGCAAGCAAAACAATATGTTATTCACTCAACAAACCTTTACTGAGCTCTTTCTGTGGTCCCTTTCTGTAGCAATAAATAAAGATAATGAGAACAATTGAACCATCTTTTCTTCTCCAAAGAGTGACCTAGCCTGAGCCTTGCCTAGGACTTGATCATTAGAGCCTGGACTTGCCATCAGCTGGAGAAGATCTAAGAAGTCATTTTGTCCAACCTCCTTGTTTTACTTTAATAATGACAATGGGTAAATTTACCAAAAGATAAGATCTAGTAACACAGGTTCTAATATCCAATCACTGCCCCTTCCATTTCCCTTTAGAATGTAGTTAAAATTAAATAGTACTAGCAATATGCCATCCTGATCTCAGTAGAAGTATTTGGAATGTGCTCAAGGGGAAATGGAGGTTCTGGCCTGGCCAGTAACCTTCTGGGCAGTTTGCTGAGAAAAGCAAGTACATGGT